CTACATATAAGTGGAATATTTAAATGTCACATTACATTATATGATACTTGAACAATGTTTCTTATCACATAATTTTTTGTAAATAATTATTCTAGACTGTTAATACATCACTTTACAATCTTTACAACTATGGATTCTAATTATAATTTAAATCCAAATATGTAAGTTGTGCTTTGATGTATTATCGGCCACATCTCCATATTTAATACAATTATATCTTAGTATACAAAATTGTGATCCTCAAAATAATATTTATATCATCATATACTCCCTTCATCCCAAATTGTTTTGCAAAGTCAACATTTTTTGGGTCAACTAATAATAAAAGTCAATGCTCGCTATCGATAATTATTTCAATTTTTAATAATTATTATTTACATATTCAGAAACTACATTAAAATCTCTTCAAAGTTGTAAACTTCAAATTAGAATATAATTTAAAATTGACATCTTAATTAAGCGAATAAAATGAAACTGTTTGACAAAGAAAAGTCAAATTTGCAAATCAAATTGGGATGAATGTAGTATAAATAAGAGATAATTATCTTAGATATGACTAAAACTTCGTCAATTTCCCAATCTATGACCTTATTACTTTTTTTTACTAAAATAATACCAAAATTCTTACTAATTAATTAATATATCAACAATTAAATAGATAAACATTTTTTATAGACTAATATGCCCTTCAATTCTTATTATAAAACCCTAATACCCTAATTGTAGCCGATCTGTACTGGCCAGCTTCTTCGCCGATCTGGAAGCAACCCTTGTAGTAGCTACGTCGCTTGGAGAGGACCAGACTTCACGCACTACCGCCGAACTGGAGGTGTCGACGACCTCAAACCTGCACAGAGGTATGGATGTGCCAATCAACAGATGACTTCCTCTTTATAAGTGCGGACAACAGAGGAAGCTAGAAGACGTGAGCCCCTTGGTTCAATGAGAAGGTTGGAAACATGAGTTATATCTTCTTTTAATAGAAGAAATTGACGACTTCTTCATTTCACTGTTCTGTTCGTCTTAATCTTGTTACTTATTGTTTATTCTTATCTTATTCAGATCAGATCAGATCAGAAAAATTCAGATCAGATCAAATCAGAAAGATTCAGATCATATCAGAAACATTCAGATCAGATCAGGAACATTCAGATGAGATCAGAAAATTTCAGACATGATTTATCCCTTTTATTGTAATACCAATTATAATAATATTAATTATTATTATTATTATTATTATTAATTTATTATTATTATCCTTGTTGTTATTGTAATTGTTATTATAATTACTATTATTATTGATATTATTATTATTATTATTATTGTTATTGTTATTATTATTATTATTATTATTATCATTATTACAATGATTACTATGATTATTATTATTGTTATTATTATGATATTTATTATTATTATTATTATTATTATTATTATTATTATTATTATTACTACTATTATGATTGTTGTTATTGTTATTAGTTTTTTTGTTATTATTATATTATACGGAGTAATTACAATTAAAATTGTAGAAATATATATTATAATTATAATTAAAATTATAATTATAGAAATAATTATAACTAAAAATATAACTATAATTATAACGTTTTTTTTTGTTTACTCCAGGAGGCGTCTAGGGGTCGGGGGGCTCAAGTAAACTAGGTTGAAACTCACCCCATTGAGTTTCAAACCCGAGACCTCCCATAAAAGAGAGTGATTCGGTGACCAGCTGAGCTGAACCGCTTCCTCTAATTATAGCTATATTTATAACTAGTGTAATACGTATAATAATAGTTATACCTGTTATAATTATGATTATAATTATAATTATAATTATAATTATATTTAAATTATATGTGTAATTGCATTTCTAATTATAATAATTAAAATTATATTTATAATTATAATTTTAGAAATATTCAAATCAGATCAGATCAGAAGAATTCAGATCAGATCTGGAACATTCAGATCAGATCTGGAACATTCAGATCAGATCAGGAACATTCAGATCAGATCAGGGACATTCAGATCAGATCAGACCAGATCAGAAAGATTCAGATCAGATCAGATCAGATCAGAAACATTCAGATCAGGTGAAGAGAATAGGTTCTTAGTCATATTCTGGTAAATTTCGGTATAAATAAACAACAAGCTAAGGGAAACTTAACGCCCAAGGCGGGAGTACGTGAGAGAGGGGGCATGCATAGGAGCGGGACGTACAACAATTAAGCTAGGGAGATTGAAAGACATGAGAAATAAATTAAAAGGTTAAAAAGTGAACGAAGAAAAATAAGGAGGAAGAAGGCATGGAAGGTGGAAGAGATTGGCTAGCTTGGAGCTGGAAGAACATCCAGGGAGAGAGAAACGGGAGTAAGAAAAGTTGAAGAAAAAAACGGGAGAAAACGGCAGATAAAAACTGACCGCTTAAAAACGGTCACCTTCCTGTGAATTGGCCGAAGTGATCCCTTTTTAAGAGTAAGCAGGTTTAAGTGATGCTTTATTTAGTATATGGGTTCAAGTGATCTATTTGTAATTGTACAGGGATCTATTTGACCCTTTTCTCTTAAAATAAGTTTTTGTCAAAGTTTGCTTTATCTGTTATTGTTGTACACATTGTTATTATTTCGTATATGTAAAAATAGTTTTCTTTTTTATATTTTTTTATTGTAATTATTTGAAGGAGTAATAAAATTAGATGAACAATAGTACTTAATATCAAAATAATTATTCAACTTAATTTGCAATTCATTGAGGATAGTACAAATCAAAGTGTATCATCTCAAATGAATAGTTAGTGATGATCAAAATGTGTTTTTCTAAAATAAAAATGAAAGCATTTACTAAAAAAGTTATACCCGCATTTTAAACCATTTTGAAACGTAACCCTGCACGAAAGGGACATTTAGAAAAATTGTATGTGAGTGAGTCACTCTTTTGCCAAATTACAAAACTTATCGATCAAATATGTCAAAACAAGCAAGTCATAATTGTTTAATTAAGGCCTTAAATTAAAATAAACTAATTATATATTATCATTGTCTATGCTAAACTAAATAATCAGAATAAGTTCTGTATTAATTAATTAATAGAACTTAATATCAATATAGTTAAAGGACTTAATTAGGGAGTATATATTGAGTGGGGAAATATTAGGGAGTATAATAAAGTATTTTGTGTTTTAATTGGAAGAAAATTTTCTGACCAGTTTGGTCTGTTTTAAGTCCAGTCTAATTTAGCTTGATCTGTTTGGATTTGGTAAAGGTCTTTTTTATGTGTATTTTACTATTACCTAAGTCTAGTTTGATCAGGCACGGACTCAGGAAATATATTGGGGGGGGGGGGGGGGGCATAGACCAGTGGTGTATTTAGAATTATTTTTTGTAGTGGTGACTAATTTACACTATAACTTAGTAACATTTTTCACAAATAGTAATTCACGTTATTAATATTATTTGATTATACTTAGTTAAGTTACAAATGTACAAGTATGTCTAAAAAGAAGATCAATTTTTATTACGTGAATGCAAAGATGTAATTGTAGATAAAATTTGATCAAATCACCTAAATAGAAGTTAAACTAAATCACAAGATTCAATGATTTTTTTTTTATCCTTTTATTCTTTTAATGCCAAATATCTTGTGGTCTGATGGCATCACTATGATACTCCCAAGGAGGAGGTCATAAGTTCGAATCTCATCCCAGTTCAAGGATGTTAGCCTTAACAGAACAGATACTGTAATAGGTTAGAAAGATTTGTTAAAAAGAATTCTTTTAATAGGATTTATAGGGAAGAAAACACTCTTAATCTTATTTTAGATTTTTTTCATACGTTTAACTCTTATTTTGGCCAAGTACCCTGTGCTCTGATGTCATCAATGTGACACTTACAAAGAGGAGGTCACAAGTTCGAATCTTATCCCAGTCAAGGATGTTGGCATTAACAGAACATATACTATAATAGGTTAGAAAGATTTGCCAAAAAAACTCTTATTTTGAGCAACTTCCTATAAAATTATAGGTTATATATACTAGGATTGGAGCTGAGGGGGGCAACTGTCCCCACTGCCCTCTGTACAATGGATACATCTCTCATCGTAGTTAAACAAAATCATTGTAGAAGTTCATTATTATAATTTTTTTATATACTACCCCGGAGTATACAAAATGAATCATTAAAATAGTACACATTAAACAAAAAATTCTCAAAGAAGAGACAAATATATTATTACAAAATATTGAAGTTAATACGTAACTTAAAATTGTGTCCGACATTCCTCCAAAGAGATAAATTCCTAAGTTACATATTTTGAGTCAAAAGCTCATGAGAATTGACTTATTTTATTTTCATACGGAGTATAGAGTATTAGACTACACATCGCTTTGAATTTCTATTTTTAGGAATTGGACTTGTCCTCAATTTTTTCATATTTTTGTTTTAAAATATACACAATTATATTCATAGTAAATAGATTCATATAGGCTATCTATCACATTTTGACTTATCCTATGGGTAATTTATGTTTTGTATTTCTTTCCTTTTTAACTGTAGTAAATATATATTTAAATAAAAATTGGGAAAGTAATTATTACATTTACTTACTCGTATATTTTCTTTGGGGGGGATATTTTTTTGAAGGGGCCAATTATATATATTTTCATGTATACAATGGAAAAAATATTATCCTTGAACACGTTTAGGATGTTTTCTTTTGGACTGTTTTCAGTCCCAGACCAGACCAGACTTAAACAGATCAGACCATACCAGACCAGACTTAAACAGTCTAGACCAGAATTTCTTAGTTATAAAATACACAGAGACCAGACGTTTACCAGACCAGTTCAGACCAGACTTAAACAGATGTTATATTGGAATTTGGAAGTATACTACTCCGTAATGTATACAAGTACTACGAATTAAATCCAATCCGGTATTTTAGGTTGAAATAATCCAATCCGGTATTTCTGTCAAAACAAAATCCAATCCGGTATTTCTGAAAACAAAATCCAAACAGGTATTCGTTGTTATCTAAATCTGATCCAAACTGGGTTTTCTAAAACTTTTCCGTTTTAAGTTTTCGATTCATTGAAGATTTCCAAACTATCATTTGAAGATACCACAATTAATTATATTTCGTATCTGTTACTGAAAATACTACGTAGTAGTAACATGTATTTGTATTAGTTATGTTTCATTAACCACATTCTTATGTACCAATTTATCGGTAAATCCTATCCCATTAGTAAATTCTATCCAATTAGTAATAATAGTTAGATTAGAATACATTGTAGGAGATTGGATAGGAATTGATCATATCCGCAATACCTCTGTAATCCCTTTAAATAGCCGCTAAATGCATTGTGATTTGTGAATAACACACTAAAAACTTTTTCTGCCTGTTTATTCATAAAACTTAACTATGGATCTCGATCTTTCCCCGAAGTTGGCAAAAAAGGTGTACGGAGGAGATGGCGGTGCTTACTACGCCTGGTCCCCGGAGGAGCTTCCAATGCTCCACCAAGGCAACATCGGCGCCGCCAAGCTTGCTCTTGAGCAGAACGGCTTTGCTCTTCCTCGCTACTCTGATTCCGCCAAGGTTGCCTATGTTCTTCAAGGTACAAATCTACTCTGATTATGAGCTGTTTATGCTTGCCGAGTATGATTATTTGGTAGAATATAGGTTTTCATATTTGATCGTTGATTTTCGGATGACATAATTTGGTATGATCGTTGATTTTTGAGTACTTAATTTGGTATGATCGTTGATTCGAATTGCCAAGTATCTCACCTATTTGCGATTTGTTACCCCGTAAATTGAAATTCTGGATAAAATCAACCACTTGTATGAATCATCAGCAGATTTTTTTATAATTATAGAATATGCAATGCTAGATTCAATACTAGTTTTGTAATAATGTAATGCTCAAATCGGTGAAATTTGTTCTAAATTTACGCTTGACAGATGATATTGATTAGTTTATACTTCATAGATGCTTGACAGATGATATTGATTAGTTTATACTTCATAGATTTTCATCTGATGGTGATGATCGAATGCACTGTTCAGGTTATGGAGTTGCTGGAATTGTCCTTCCTGAGAAGGAAGAGAAGGTTATCTCCATCAAGAAGGGAGACGCCATTGCCCTTCCCTTTGGTGTAGTCACCTGGTGGTACAACAAGATGGACACAGAGCTTGTAGTTCTCTTCCTTGGAGACACCAAAACGGCCCATAAGCCCGGTTCTTTCACCGACTTCTTCTTGACTGGTCCGAACGGCATCTTCACCGGATTCTCGACTGAGTTTGTTTCCCGGGCATGGAATCTGGAGGAGAGTGTGGTGAAGAAGCTCGTGGGTAGCCAATCCAGCAAGGGCATTGTGAAACTCGAACCGGGTTTCAAGATGCCCGAACCCAACCCAGCCCACAGGGATGGCATGGCATTGAACTGCGAGGAAGCGCCCTTGGATGTTGACATTAAGGATGGTGGCAAAGTTGTGGTGCTGAACACAAAGAACTTGCCTTTGGTTGGAGAGGTTGGGCTTGGAGCTGATCTGGTGAGGTTGAATGGGAACGCCATGTGTTCCCCTGGCTTCTCTTGTGACTCAGCCCTACAGGTGACTTACATTGTTAGGGGCAGTGGGCGTGCTCAGGTTGTAGGTGTGGATGGGAAGCGTGTGCTGGAGACTACAGTCAAAGCAGGCCACTTGTTCATTGTTCCAAGGTTCTTTGTTGTTTCTAAGATTTCTGATCCTGTTGGCTTGGAGTGGTTCTCCATCATCTCTACTCCAAAGTAAGTATATATTCTTGAAATCTCAGTATTTTTGTGTAGATACTTTAACAGTTTTTACTGCCTGAAGTTATAATGTTTATCTCTCGGTTCCGTTTGTCCTGCATTGAGATTTTTTTTAGTGCAATGACTAATTTTTGTGTTTATTTGCAGCCCTGTTTTCACTCATTTGGCTGGGAAGACATCAGTGTGGAAGGCGCTATCACCTCAAGTGCTTCAGGCTGCTTTCAATGTTCCCGAAGATGTGGAGAAGGAGTTCAGGTCGAAGAGGACTGCAGAGGAGATCTTCTTCCCCCCACCAAACTGATTGATTTAATCACTGATTTGATTATCTTTTTTGGCTCTAGTTGTGCCATAGTAGTTTTTTAACAATAAAGATATATAGTTCGTTTATTGAATTTCATCTTTTGTGGTTATTTCTTGTGTTTGGGGCATCAATTGACAAAAAGGGAAATATTGTATGGGAAATATGCTTCTTTATTCGATCAAATTCTTAAAGTGGCTTTGTTTTTTCCGTTTATTTATAAGGATGTTTTCTTTTGAACTGAAATTTGCTGGTCTGGTCTGGTATGTTTAAGTCTGGTCTGGTCTGAACTGGTCTGGTAAACGTCTAGTCTCTGTGTATTTTATAACTACGGAAGTCTGGTCTGGTCTGTTTAAGTCTGGTCTGATCTGTTTAGTTCTGGTCTGGTCTGTTTAAGTCTGGTCTGATCTGTTTAGTTCTGGTCTGGTCTGTTTAAGTCTGGTCTAATCTGGTATGGGACTGAAAACAGTCCAAAAGAAAACATCCTAAGTTCCGGCCAAACAAGGAGTTGCGCAAATTTATTTTTCTAATGATAATTACTACATATTTTATAATTGAACATGAACAATTTTAAAAGAATGTACATTTATTTATAACAAAGAAAAATGACATGTAGATTACTTACAAAGTTTCTCGAACAAAAATATGACTACTTATATGGGATTACTTTTTTGCCAAAGTATGACTAGCCACTGACCACTGTGTACGACTAACTATAAAAGAGTCATTATAGTGTATTTCAGGTGAACTAGTCCCTATTCCAATGTAGTAATTTCTTTTGCAAAATATAAAAATAAGTCAATTTTTTTAATTTAATTTAATAATAATATTCATGGAAAAGGCATGATGGACGACGTACAAATTTTATCACTTTAATTTTTATATTTTTTGATGGCTGCCGGCGTCTTCTAAAGGAAGTAACCGGCCTGGGAAAACAAGGGTGTCTTCTAAAGGAAGAAATGACGTCCGTTAATTGGACTCAATTGACTTTTTGGTTACAGTAGGTGGACCAATCTGAGAATTTTTCCTTAATTTTATAGGGAATTTTTCACAGGTAGATCAAAAGGTGAAAATAATATCACTTTTGTTACTATACCCATTAATTTTCTTTTCAAAAATAGACTAATTAAACTTTTCAAATACAAAAATGGATCATATGCATAGAACCAAGCTACCGGGACCTAAGATGTGAACATCCGCTCCCCCTCCAAAGTGCATGTAGGCTCTCCATCTCTTCTCCCTTTGTTTAAACTTATACAAACACCAAAAATGAATCTAATTCTTGTTTTAAAATAGAAAAATAATGTAAAGATGATTCAGATAATCAGAAAATTAAAACGTATAAAAAAATAGGTAATAATAAAAGTATGAAAATATCAAAGAATGCAAAGTAAAAAATTGAAGATGGGAAATTGTAAATTGCATTCGAAGAAGACATTTCAATTTAAAAAATAAAACAGAATGAAAAAAAACCAATAGAAAATAAAAGAACTTTAAAATTAGTTAAGATTGTGGGAATATTGTAGAAAATACAATTTTTTTAAGTAACTTTTTGAAATAGTGAACATAATTGTTATCAATATATAAAGTGTCAAAAAAAATTAAAAGGTTAACAAATAGGTTTAAAGTACGGTTTAATACCCTAAAACATATAAAATATAACAAAAAATTTTAAAATAAGAAAAAAGAGGTTTTGAAATTATTAAAAATATGATAAGTAACTAGCAATGTTTGTGGAAGAGATTTGTTTAGAGAGAATTCCCTAAATAGGAGTAAAAACGTTTTGAAATTCCAAAATAGGAGTATCATGTTTTTTATTCCTTGAATAGGAGTAATCTGCCAAGTTTGGAAGAAAATGCCATGTTTAAAAGCCTTGCAATGTCAAACTTGGCAGAAATTTACTCCTATTCAGGGAATAAAAAACATGATACTCCTATTTTGGAATTTCAAAACGTTTTTACTTCTATTTAGGTCAATTTCTGATTTGTTTATCAGATTATATACAAAGAAAAAAAGTATAATATAAAAAACACATAGAATTTGATAAATTAAAAAAAATCAAAATATATTTTATAAATAAAAATAAAAATATTTTTATTTTATTTTTAGTTTTAATCCCCGAATTTAGTTAATTCTTATTTCCCTTTTATCTTTCCCTGTGGAGACGATACTCGTACTTTTCCCACTATTCTACAATCTTTGCGATAAAACTCACATCACTCCATTTTACTATTCATGTATCCCCTGTATTTTATCCATTTTGGTAATACATCTTTTAATATAATAATCTAATGCTGTTTTTGAAAAGCTTTGTTTCCCATTCTACCTTAGAACTCGTGAAATCAATCCCGAAATTTAATTCTAGAGTGGAGGTAGTACTATTTTTAAACAAAATATTATTCTACTGATCGTCTGATCTAAATAGAGCTGTGCATCGCAGATCAGGATCCTCTGCCACACAACAGAGTCCTTGGCACAAATCCGACGGCAAAGAAGAGAGGAGATGTGCTTTGGGATCAGCAAATATCGGATCCGACGGCCATAAATAGCCAGACACCCTACATGGCGGCCAAATCGAGGCAGAGAAATCGGATCCGTGCATCGCACGGGCACATCATCTAGTTTTAATATTAGTAGCAGGAGAGTATGATGTTACATCTATCATTAATTAACAATAACAACAACAACTACAATAATAATAAATAATAATATAATACTAATATAAAAATTATAAATAAGTTGCAGAAAACAATTGTAAATAAAACAATAATAATAATAATAATAATAAAAACTGTAATAATAACAATAATTAATAATAGTAATAAAAATAACACTAGTAATAGAAATAATAATAAAAACAACAACAACACCAACAACAACAATCAAAGTGATAAATAGTGTTTGGATTTTTTTTGGTTTGATGAGAATGTTTTTAATTTAATTTTATTTGGATTCTTTTTATCTAATCGTCAATCATTTTGATATGATCTGAATCTTTGTGAGATAATTTGATTTAAATCTTTCTAATTTGATGTAATTCATTTTTTATTTGATTTGGTTGAAATATTTGTGATCTCAATAAAATAAAAATAAACCATAAAATTAAGTCCAACAAAGTAGTGCCTAATCCGATTCATTCTGTAATGAAGCGTGTAAGACTTGATTTATCCATTCTTTATTTATTTATGCTCCGTATATTTGGATGTTTTCTTTTGTGGAAATTACCCGATTGAGCTACTTCTCGCTATGCTATTTCATTTATAGCCCAAGACATTATATCTTTCATCTTTAGACTTTTAGACTTTCACTTTTAACATCTTTATTTCAAAATAATTCAATCAGTTAGATTTAAACCCAACCCTCCGACTTCCGTCTCCTAAACGTAGTTCTGAACCTTCGACTTCTAGCTTTGAATCTCTCTCTGTCCAGCTTCCAAACGCTGCCGCTGGACTACACTTGTCCGCTCCTCTCCGTCACAGAAACAATCTCGTATAGCCGTGAAAGAGCAATTTGAAGCAATCGTTGTCGCTGGAAACTCTTTTTCAGATTATCTCCTCACAGTTATGTAGAAAACGAAAATCGAGAAGCTGGACGGTCGTTCCCGGTGGGTCGTCTCGAGTGTGGCGGCGGCGTTCTTCTCTTCGCTGGAGCGCTGTTCCTGCGTCAAGCTCAACAGGTGATTGATCCGCCGTGGTTATAGCTCTGGCTTGGCAATCGTAATCGGCTAATCGCTACTCCGGGAGGTCCTGTCGCTTCAGTTGCTTTGCCCTGTCGTGGAAGAAAAGACAAAATTCTATATGATTATTGAAGATGTAAATAGAAATTCGAGAATTCTGGTGATTAAACGTGTAAGGTCTTTGATTAACCTTGTGTTTGAAATCAAATCATATAGTTCCATTTCATATATTTCATGTGTTTTTACCTCCAGGTTTCCTTTTTAGCGTTTTTTCACTCTGCTCTGTTTTAATGTGTAGTTGCACCATTTATATCCTGTTAGGTCCCTCAGACTTTGATGAAATATAGTTTTGATGATGCAATCCTCCCTTGATGATTAGATTTTCTATTCAATATTAAATGATCATTGTGTGAACTGAAGTGTGGTCTAAAAAGGAAGGTGACAAAATTAGGAATGTATAAATTATGTCACAAAATAAATATACTGAAAATATAAAATGCAATAAGGTAAATCCCTACCTTTCAAGGATATTCAAATCCAATCAGTATATTTATTTGTGACACAAATTTATTATTGTCACTAGTAAAATTGTGACTAATCTTACATGTACATCTTATGTACAAAATTAATTTTACTGGAAATATAAAATGCAATAAGGTAAATCCTTCTTTACCTTAAAAAGGATATTTAAAATCCTACCAGTACAAATTAATTTTGTAGACAAGGACCAGAGTCACAAATTTTACTTGGAAAGCTGTATAATCACGAGACACTCCAGAGTTGCCTATGAAGACAAAATCCCACTAGATTATGAATAGTGCGCAAAAGGCCTAAGGAATGGGTTTAC